ATCCATGCCCAGACTGCCAGAGCATTGCATTGAGTATGTCAGGATATTGCAGTGGCCAAAGGAGCAGCCTTTTGGAGGTAATTAATGTATTGTAATGGTGCTAAAGGAACATTTCTCCTTTAATTAACTTGAGTGGGATGTATACTTTTAATAAAACAATCCTGCCTCGTAACCTTGTGTGGTTCATTTTCATATTGAATCTAAACCTCCTCTGAGCTGGAGATGGATTTTCTCTTCTTGAACTCACTCTCCAGTTCCATATTTGCTCATGTTTCTCACACTGCAGTGTCTTTCCTGAATTAAAATGTAACCTGTAACAGCTCTATAAATTCTGCAGTGATGATAGTTTATGTATAGGATGTGTTTAAACTAAAGATATTTGTAAAAATAATATTTTTGTTCTTTAAAATGTCAAGTTTCAAAAGCTTTATGGGGTATTCATTAAAAATTAAACCAGGGATTTTTTTAGACAAGAAAGAATGCTGTGTTTCAGAAGAACTTTTATAATTGCAATTTATCTGTAAATTCTCTACTGTAGAAGGTATTGCATTGGATGGAGATGACCCTGAACATATACAGTGGATTTATCAGAAGTCTTTAGAAAGAGCATCACAATTCAATATTAAAGGTGTTACCTACAGACTCACCCAAGGTAAGGGATGGCATTTCACCAAGTGGTGGCATTTGCATCTAGGCTGGATTGGCATTCTTTGTATTTGTTATGACTAAGCTGGCAGCTGTGCTGGGATAGTTCTCCTCACCCTTAAAACAGAAACAAGCAGCTTGTTTCCTGTGCCAGCACAAATATTTTTATGACAAATCAGATGTTCAGGCATTCATGATGAATCAGAGGAACTTATCTGGGATAAAACTGAACATTCTTTTTCCTATTTTATTTTTAACTTGGAGCAACTCCACAGTTTACATTACATGGTGACCACTCTTGCTGGGTCAAAGAGTAGAAACAAAAGGACTTGATTGTCTTTTTTAGCAACATTTTGTGCCAGTTCAGACTGGTTAAGTCTATAGCATCTGTTCCTGTCTGCTGTCCCTGCCTCTGTTCACATGCTAGTGCAGTATGCTGACACTCATTTAATCAGCATTTCAAACACTATCCAAATAGAAAACTCAACCTTCTTTCCTTTGTTCATTTCCCCAGTTTAACAGGAAAAGAACAGAGTTTTAATTTCCCCATACTAAATAGAGAATTCTTGCTTTCAGAGTTTGTTCAGTAGTTCTCTTTGTTTGATACCTGCTTTTTTTCAATGTGCTTTATCCATTCCTAAAATAAAAAGTGCCCAAGTACTGCAGCAGCATGCATTATACCTGTTTGTTACAGAAATTCCTGGACACTTGAAAGTACCTTAGGACCCACCCTCTGAAATTATTCTGTCTAAAAGTAGCCTCTCAATAGAGTTTCTTAGAAAACAAAGAGCTGTATGTTTTGTTTTTACAGGGGTGGTTAAACGAATTATTCCAGCAGTAGCTTCTACAAATGCAGTAATTGCAGGTATGCTGTAAGAACTCATTTTACTTCTACTTTACTGACTTGAGAGTTTTGTGGGACAACAATTTGGAATTGAGAACCTGGAGAGGATAATAGTAAATTTTAAATGTGTCTGGTCTGTTCTTACAGTCTTATTTCTGTTTTCCATAGAGAAACTGTATGTGACTGGATAAATGTTATGACTCTGGGAGACAGCAAAAGCATTTAAGACTGGGGAGAAAAACTGAAAAACACAGTGCATAGGCTTGGCATAGTCTCTGATTAGTGCCAAATCTGTGGTGTTAATGCACAGAACTACCAGCTACCTTCAGATGTTTCTTTTTCTCTTCATAGACTGTTATACTTGATTGTTTTTATCACTTTTTGTACAACTTTGTGATGTCTCCATATCTGCTAGAGCCAGGTGAAGAAACTCTTTTTTCTCATTCCAGCTGTTTGCGCGACGGAAGTTTTTAAGATAGCCACAAGGTATTTAATTTCTTATTAATTACAAACATCATTTCCAGCAGAATGCCATGTATCAACACTGACATATTTATCATTACAGTGCATATGTTCCTCTTAACAACTATTTGGTGTTCAATGATGTGGATGGATTATATACATACAGTTTTGAAGCTGAAAGAAAGGTTAGTGCCATTAAAGACTTGAAGGGTTGTTTCCTTGATTTGTATTTATGCACTTTGTGTGTATTCCTGAACCTCAGTATTGAATCAATTGGCCCCTGGCACTGAATGATAATATTTCTGAAGTTTTAAAAGTGGAAACTAGATATAGTGGTCTGCTATTTCTGCAAAGTAGAGCTACAAAACAAGATCCTCAAACCTAAGGTGACTCATGGGCAGATCTTCTCAAAAAGACGTTATGGCAAAAACTGATCTGAAAGTTTGTAGTATTGGATTTTATGTCAGATGAAACTTGTCATTCATAAATACTTAGGTGCTGTTGGGAGCCAATCAGTGACAGACTTCAGAAGGAAATGGGTTTTGTCATTAATATTTCCAGCTATTAATATATCTAGAGCTAAAATATCAAAAAAAAAAGCACACACAAACACTTTTGAGACCTTACTAGCAGTATTTCTAAAATCACCTTTAACATAATGTGTATTCTTGTGCTGTTTTGTGGTAGGAGAACTGTCCAGCCTGCAGCCAGCTTCCCCAAAACATAGAGATTTCCCCATCAGCTAAATTGCAGGAGATCCTGGATTACTTAACAAATAATGCTTCATTGTAAGTTGCAACCATTCTGAGTAATTTGATAATTTGTTGGTTTATTGCTTATAAAAGGTAATTTTAAAATGTATTTTTAACCTGATTGCCTGGTTTTGTTTTGTTTGTTTGTTTGTTTTTAAATGTTTTATATATAGGCAGATGAAATCTCCTGCAATCACAGCAACGATGTATGGGGGAAATAAAACACTTTATTTACAGGTAATCTGAACATACATAATTGACTTTGTTATTCTGAATTTACTTAAATTTACTGAATTAAAAAAAAAAAAACCAAACTTGGTTTTTTTTTTGTTTTTTTTTTTTAATTTGCAGACAGTAGCTTCAATTGAAGAACGAACAAGGCCAAATCTTTCCAAGACACTAAAAGGTATCATGGGGCTGTCAGGTGTTGATTTTCAAGTTAGAGAAAGTCAGTTTCACCCCTCTGTGTGGATATTTAGCCTTATCTTGCATTATGCAGTAGAATTTGCTTCACTGTCCTTTTACATTCAATACACATTCAATTTTAGTTTCACATTTCTCAGGTATATTAATTGTTTAAAGGTGAAGTGCAGGCAGATGCACAGAACATTGCAACAAAGCAACCAAATAACTGCTGTAACCTACACACTCTCCAGTACAGTTTTATATATATTTCTCAACAAGTTCTGTTTCCTGGTTAAATTAGATTAATATTAACTTAGCCAGTGAGCTGTTTGCAGCTTTTTTTAATCACATTTACAGTTTGTGGGGATAGCATTTCTAATTTTTTTTTGGCTTCTTGGAAAGGCAAAGCACATGGGTTTAATTAAATTAATTAAGTTTTTCTTTCTGTTTCAGAACTGGGGCTTGTGGATGGCCAGGAACTTGCAGTTGCTGATGTTACTACACCACAGACTATGTTGTTCAAACTTCACTTTACCACTTAATTTATTCATAAGTAAAGTGCAAATACAGCAAGAGAAATCTGTGCCCACCTTATAAAACAAACATACTCTGTGGGTGTTAAGGCAGCCTGAAATGTTCCTGTTAGTGCCAGCATGGTTGAAGGTTAGGAAATCTAAATGAATCACCATATTTCAGAATTGTACGTAGAAGCCAATATTTGGTGGATTATATTTGTATAAATGCTTATTCATGTACAGACCTCTGATGTATAGATACACTTTTCCCAGGTTTTGTTGTCAAAATGTTCATGCTAATGTACTTTCAAACACATGGAACTTTAAGGTGGCCAAAAGTCTTGTTTTCAATGTGTGCACACATATATGCAAAGAAAAGATGTTTTTAAAAGGAACCACAGCAATCTGGTTGTAAGTTGTAGCACTCCTGAGACTTACTGAGTCACCTTAAACCAAAGGAGGCAGTAGATTAAAATGAGGATTTTCCTCTTACTTGGTATTGATTTGATCAATTTTATGAAAGGTGTTAAATATGGAAGAGATGGCTTTGTTTCAAGAAACACAAAAGGAGAAAATTATCAACTATACATGAAAATACAGATGTGTCTCCTCACTGTCCCCAAGCAGCCGCCATGCACAGCATTGCAAAATTATGTTCAAATATCATTGGTGCTGTTAAGGTATTTATTAATAAAAAAATCAGAAAGACACCTGAGCTTGTGGCTTTTCTGTGGGCATTCATTTATAACCTCCATATATGATGCCTCCACAAATCTGGGGCATCATTTGGCTGCTTTAGTCAGAGACTTAAGGAGTGCCAGTGAATTCTAGTCTGGTATGTTAGCTGTGTTTGAAGTTGACAGTTTTTTAACCATGAACTGCATAGTTTAAAAGGATGAGGCTTAATGGGTACAAATTGAATGAGGCGGAAAATAAAGGGATAGGACATGGAATAGTGGTACAAATGGAAGGAGGGGAAACAGAGGAATAGGACGAGGAGTAATGGGAACAAATTGAACGAGGGGAAATAGGGGAATAGGACAAAGAGTAACGGGTACAAACTGGAAAAGGGTAAATTAGGTTAGATACTCGGAAGAAACTTTCCTGTGAGGGTGGCGAGGGGCTGGCGCTGGTTGCCCAGAGGAGCTGTGGCTGCCCCAGCCCTGGGAGCGTTCCATGCCGGGTCTGTTTGGGCTCGGAGCGGAAGGCGTCAGTGCCCGTGACAGGGACTGGAACCGGACGGTGTTTAAGTCCGTTCCAGCCCCTGAGCCGAAGCGTTCCCCGCTCCGGAGGCGCTGTGAGGGCGGGCGCGGTGCCCCGGTCCCGCCTCCCGGACGTGTGGGGCCGGACGCGGCTGCGCCGGGCCCGGGTGCGACGTGGATCCGGCGGCGCCTGCGCGGGGCCCTCGCTCCGCTCCGCTCCGCTCCGCTGCGCTGCCCTCCCTCAGCGCCGCGCCCGGCCCGGCCCGGCCCGGCCCCGCCGGCAGCGGGGGCAGCTGCGGGAACGGGCGCTGCGGAGCCGCCGAGGATGAGCTGGTTCAACGCCTCGCAGCTGTCCAGCTTCGCCAAGCAGGCGCTGTCGCAGGCGCAGAAGTCCATCGATCGGGTGCTGGACATCCAGGCCGAGGAGACCCCCTGGCCCGACGCCGTCATCCCCGACTACGGTGACGGTAAGGGCGGGCGGCCCGGCCGCCGTGCCGAGCCTCGCGGCCCTTCGCTTCGCCCGCCTCCTCCGCTGTCTCCCCCTTACCCTGGGGAGGTTTAACCACCCCCCCGCACAAAGCCGCCCCGGTTTTTATAATTCAGAGCCCCCTGTGGTTTAATAATCCATGTTCTGCTCCCTCCCGCGCCGGGTGACACCGGCACGAAGCCGGGCAGGCTCAGCTCAGAGCCTGGCTGGTGTCACCAGTGTCCTGCTTTTATCGCATAGGTGGCACTGAGCTTCATATCCTGCTTCTCGAGGTGTTATTTATTTATACTTACACTGAGGGGCTAATAATTGGCAAAAACTGCTCAGTAATATAAAAGGGGAAATCACGCTCTTTTCATGGATTCACTCTGCAACAGGAGGGGCAGAGTAGAAGCTGAAAGTCTGGTCCATATGAACCAAATGAAATTTCCACTTTTCGTGGCTTCCAGTTCATAATCCTCCAACATCTGTGGAAAGGAATGTGCTGGTGAAAAAGTTGTCATGGCTATGAGGAAGTGTCTCCCCTGTGCGTGTGCTGATGGAGAGCCTGAAGGAATGGTCACCTAAGCTGCTGTTTGGAAGGGAGAGAGCAAAAAGGAGCCCTCTTAATTAGAAACTCCCCCCCCAATAATAATAATAATAATAATAATAATAGAAAACAAAGTAATCTGGAATCAGTGTCATTGCTACAACTATATCTAGAAAAACTATGTCTAGCTGGAGGAGGAGGAGGATATTTCCAGGTGAAGCCACAGCAGAGTGAGATTTCTGAAAACTGTAGCAACTGAAAATGTTTTCCAGGTTGGTTGCACAGCAAAGGTCAGTTTTGGTCTTTGTCCCTTTGAGGGCTTGGCAGTCATGTAAGTGGTCTGGTGTCATCTTACAATGCAGAAATTGTTTATAGAAAACTCTGTCATGCTTAATTTCTCAAAGCTTTAGACTTGTCCAAATTCTTAAAATTTTATTTGTGTCTTAGTATTTATGGTAGTTCTGTAATTTATAAGAAGAGCAGCAAAGATCAGCCTGCATCTGGTTTTCAGGGAAAACCTTCTTGTTTCTAAGAGATGTCAAAATATGTTCTGAATGTTACAATTAACTCAGAGCTTTTTCTGAAGCTGTTGAATCATGGACAAGGTAGCAAATAAGTCAGATGCTTGTAGTAATAAATCACATGTTTGTAGTATTTTGGACAATGAAAGCAGTAATTTCCTGAGAAATTATCTTGAGATTTGAGGCCAACAGCTATCAACTGTTCTGAAAGTAGAAGCCAGCTCTAAATATTGTAACTCAGCATTTTTAATAGATGCTGCTGCATTGAGTGAGTTTGTTTTTAAGTAGCCTGAAATAGTTACGTTACCCAGATTATAAAATGGGATATTATTTTTTGATTTCTCTTTCTTACTTCAGATGCTACTGAAATTTGATGCTGAAATTCTTGGTTTTGCTGTTGACAAATCCTGGAAAGCCTGCAAGAAATACAATAATTGGAATTGTTGATGTTGTTTTAGGGCAGCTTCAGAACTGAACAATTCAGTATTTCTCTACAGAAGAGGGAAATTCTCAGCTGGGCTGCTGCTGATTTTTATTGTCAGCTCCATGCTGATGCTTGGTGTTTGAAGAAAAATGAAATTGTCAGAAACAAGGCAGGAAACCTTCTTGTAGTGTAAATACTGCAAATACTTAAAGCTTCTCCCCTCTGTTTTCTGTAATGGTGTGTGAAGTGTTTATATGCTACTTGCAGATAACTTTTAAGACCTTGTAATTTTTTCCTCCTTTTTAAATCAGTATAATTCTCTTAACTACAGCTTTTCATGTTGTTTTTTGCCTGGACTTCTTTCTCAGTAGGGAAGCAGGAGGCCACATTTGCTTTTGCTTGTAGCTTTCAAAGTGTTTTTTTTTTTACCTATCCCCCTTTTTTTCTTTTTTTTTAGGAACAAATTCTCTCATAAGTGGAGGATGGGACACATCTTCCTGGGGCTTGAACTCAACTACAGAACCCCAGAATCAGCCAGTATCACCCACAGCTATCACAAAGCCGGTGAGGAGGACGGTAGTGGATGAATCTGAAAACTTCTTCAGTGCCTTTCTCTCCCCAACAGACGTTCAGAGTATACAGAAAAACCCAGTGGTGTCCAAACCTCCAGCCAAATCACAGCGACCCAAAGAGGAGGTGAAAAGCACTTTAAAGGAGTCTCAACACTCCAGTCAGCTGGAAGGGCCAGTGACAGCAGAGGCAGAGGTGAAGGATTCCTCCGTAGCTGACCTGGACTTGAAAAGCCTTGATATTCCCGAGGAGAAATTAGAAGAGAATGCTGTGCTTAAATCTGATGCCCAGCATGAAGCAAGCACAAATGAAGTCACTGACAAAAAGGTGTCTGCTCTAAATTTTGAAGAACCTGAAGATTCTCCTAGTGAAAAATCCAGTGTAGTTGGGGATGGAGCAGCAGGTGCACCCGAGGGCACTTCTCAGCCCCTTGGAGCAGGCACGAAAGACCTGGCTTTGGAAGGGAAGGAGAGAAAGACTGAGGACAGACAAAGCAATACCCCATCACCTCCCATCAGCACCTTTTCCTCAGGCACTTCCACAACCAGTGATATTGAAGTTCTGGACCACGAAAGTGTGATAAGTGAGAGCTCAGTAAGTTCCAGACAAGAAGCTGCAGATTCCAAGTCCAGCCTTCACCTCATGCAGACGTCGTTCCAGCTCTTATCCACGTCTGCCTGTGCGGATTATAATCGCTTAGATGACTTCCAGAAAATGACTGAGAGCTGTGGCTCCTCGGATGCTTTTGAAAGAATTGATTCGTTCAGTGTGCAGTCCTTGGATAGCAGGAGTGTCAGTGAAATAAATTCAGATGATGAGTTGTCAGGCAGGGCTTCTGCTTCAGCGTCTGTCGCTGTCAGTCCTTCCGTGCCAAAGACAGAAACGGTTGACGCCCTGAAAAATAAATCTGAAAACTTGAATGATGCTTCTGTGCTACATGCTGAGGAAGCTGAGATGGAAGAGAGTGGGAGAAGTGCAACCCCTGTTAATTCTGAGCAGCCAGATGTTGTTTTGGTTGCTGCTGTGCAAACTGTTGAAGGACAGGTTGTGAAGGAGGAGGCTGAGCCCCAGCAGGATGCTGGGGAACAATTGGTAGAAGAGGACACTGAAAAGCAAGAGCTTAAAAAGGTAAATAAAACATATATTGCAAACACACCTTTTAATTGCAAATGAGGTTCCTGACATTTCCTTACATTGTCCTGTATCTCTTACATCAGCTTATTTGAATGAATTAATAGATTCTGAGCTATCTGACCCTGTATAAAACTGTCCCTGTTATCCTGCAGTGGAACACTGCTGGTAAAACTTCTGCTCAGATAGTTGTGGGTTTCACCTGACCCACCTGGTTGTTGTTATTGTAAATTGTCACCAGGGGTGGCAAACAGGAAGCCTAATAAGTCAAATGTGCTATTTTAGTTCTTTGGTGTTTACATTTGTATATTTTCTTGTATTTTTGTTGTCTGTGTTCAACTTTCCAAAACCTCTTGTTAAGAAATTATTTTGAGGATGTGTGCTCAGACCTTTTGACCCTGAGTGAAAGTTTTCCTCCCTCATCTGAGGCTATTCTGCTGCTTTGTGCTAATGTGCTAATGTTTCCCAGAAGAGACCTTCCCATAGAAATTATTCTGTAAAGAACATTGGGAGTCTTAATGCTTAATGTTAGCCATAGTTTTATGGACTATCAGCTCTAGTTAAAAACTTCATGTATAATTAAATCTCACTGTCGATCATTTTGTTGAGGAACTTACTTGAGCCACACGTGCTGATTTAGTAGGATTTCTGTACCTGTAGAAAACAGATGTGTTTATGTTCAGGTGTGTGGCAGAAACATGATAATCCTCACTGACTTCTGCCTCAAATTCCTGAAACATTGACCAGTTCAGTTTTAAATAATCTTGTGAGGGAATGGGGGGTGGGAGAAGGGAAAACCTGCCCCTCTTGTGTTTTAATTGTCCCATTGATCTGATCTTTATCTATAAAACCTTGTCCAGATGATTGATTCATTAACTGAGAAGCTGGAGAAGAGGGAAATACAGTTACTAAGCACTAGTAAAGAGAGGGCTCGCTTGGAAGAAGCTTATGATAACCTCAAAGAGTAAGTATGGAAATACACTCAGTGCTGTAACTGTGACTTTGCTGTAATAAAGTCTTAGACAGTAGATCAAACAAGGAGCTTTGTGACTGGAGCAAAGGTTACAGGGGATGTGCACTGTTTGTGAAAGGTGGCAATAATGACTGCATGTGTTGTGATGGGATTTTTTTTTAAAGACATGTTATTTCTTGGAGCCAAAATCTCTTTGGAGGGTGCTGGGGAAAGATCTTTCAGTAAGCAAGCAGTAAGAATGACAAATGTTGAGAATCAGTCTTAGTTAAAATGAAGATCTTTATTATAAGACTGGATTCAGCTATTAAGAGAGACTGACTTTGCTGATACAGAGGGAGGAACCTGATTTACCAAGTAATTTGTTGACTAAGATGTAGGCAGGGAAACTATGGAAGAAGGGCTGATTGTAGGGAAAAACCTGAAATTATTATTTAATTTAGTTAAAGTTAAAAGGGGAAAAAGTGGGAAGTTGTATTTACCAGCTCATTGATCAAATATTGAGTTATAAAATTTATAACAGATATATGATGCTGTTGTTTAATGACTAAATTGATCCTAACTTAAAAAATACATGAAATAATTTACCCTTTCTATGATACAGATTATGGTTAACTAAAAAGGACTTTTTCAAGGAGCAAAACATTTAAGATAAATCAAGCATTTAGTTGTTTTCATGGGTAAACTACTGAGTTGATAAAGATCTTTGATTAGTACTTCTGATACAGATGTGAGGTTTTTTGACTTTAGCTTATCATGTGTAATAGAAATAAAATACTTCTTAAAAGCATTTAAGACAACTTGTTGCAAACTATTTGGAGTGTCACATACCCGTGCAACTGTTCTGAAATGTTGATTTTATATGCAGTGAAATGTTTAGAATGAAAGAAGAGAGCAGCAGCCTTTCATCTCTTAAAGAGGAGTTTGCTCAGCGAATTGCAGATGCTGAGAAGAAGCTCCAACTAGCCTGCAAAGAGAGAGATGCAGCTAAAAAGGTGAAATTAATTTTTCATGAAATTTTTTTGTGAAATTAATATTTATTAGGCTATGACACAATTGAATTTCTTGAGGAAAAACAATTAACATTAACCCAGGGAAAAGCTTGAGGCTGTTAGTAACCAGCATGAGCTGTTTCCAACCATCCAGGCTGCTTGGTGCTCACATCTGTGTTCTTGCATCCATGCTGTAAGCCAGCTTGGGGAACTCATTTAATTGGGAAAAAAAGAGATTTAATGTGTGCTCTCATTTACCTTGTACCAAATATATATTTGCATTGGTGAGTGAGAATGGCCTGGGGATGTGAGGAAGGGGTGAAGAATGGGAATGGCTTCTTTAGAGGATTAACTGGGAGGAAAATTAAGGGCTGATGACAGATTGATTTGGAATGAGCAAAGAAATCTACAGCAGCAAAGTTTATGGGGTTTAAATGTTCTTGACCTGGTGTCACAGCATTTCATTTCTCTAGCTTAATGCAGAAAGGAAACTCAAATCTGACTGAAAAACAAATATTTTTCAGCTGTTTGTCACTCTGTTGACACAGCAGTGAGTTGAATTAGAAAAATTATTCAGTAGCTACTTGTGAATGGGACAGGTTGGTTTTTCTCTATTGCAAAAGTTTCAAGAAAATTAAATGGATGGGGAAGTTAGGAAAAATTGTACAGAGGATTTAGAGAGTTTCAATCCTTAGAGGTTTTTAAAACTTGATGCAATAAGGCTCTGAGCAATCTGTTTTGATCAGATAATCTCCAGAGTTCCCTTCCAACCTAAATTGTTTTCCCAGCAAAGTCTTAGGAGAGGAAGGCAGAAGAAAAAGGTGATCAGTGTAACTCACTCTATGTTTTTCCCTCCATGTATTTTAATAAACAGTCCTAAGTATTTTATCCTATTATTTAGGAAGTAAAGACTGTTAAAGAGGAATTGGCTACTAGACTTAATACCAATGAAACTGCTGAATTATTGAAAGAAAAAGAAGAGCAAATCAAAGGATTAATGGAGGAAGGTGAGAATTAACTTTTTTGTTGCAGTAAAATTGTGTAGAATAGTTTGAAATGTACTGGCCTTGCACACAAGCCTTCTTTGTATGACTAAAAAGTGCTAAATTTGAAGCATGTTGGATGTTTCTGAATGTTTTAAGCATTTAGTGAGTAGCAAAGAGCAACAGGAAGGGTCAGGCAGGTACAGGTGGCTGGAGAGGTGATTCCTGCAAGATGCAGTAAAATGTGCTGAGAGATAAAACCAGCATGTGCAGAACAGCATTCTGTCTTCCATTCAGGAGCAATCTAATGAAGGCATTGTTCATGGCATTTCTACAGTGTCTCTTTTAATACTTCTTCATTTTGGAAGTAAAATATAGATACTAAATGAGAAGATTTTTTTCCTAACATGATGAGCTCACTTGCTTTATTTTCAAAGCCTTTTACATCCTATCCTATCTCACTGTAGCTCAGTGTGTAGCAAGGGTATCTCAGGATAAGATAGATTTAAACTAAAGAACTTGCATGAAGAACTGTAAGAATAAGTATTTCCATATTTACTCGAGTAATATTTTCATGGGACTAAAGAGCAAGGCAGGTGTGAAGAGAGGGAATCCATAGAATATCACCAATATGCACTGGCTTCATGCTCAATTTCTTCACAGGAGAAAAGCTTTCCAAGCAGCAGCTGCAGAATTCCAACATTATTAAGAAATTAAGAGCCAAAGAGAAAGAGAGAGAAAATATTAACACAAAACAGAACAAAAAGATTAAGGAATTGGAAGAGGAGTTGCAGCATTTAAAACAGGTGAGATATTTGTTGAATTTTTTAAGGTTTTATGTTAGCTGCTAAATTGCCTTTTGGGAGGGCTCTTGGTAAATTGACTTATTTTTTTATTTTCTGTAGATGTCTCTATTTCATAGAATCCCAGAATGGTTTGGGTTGGAAGGAACCCTAAAGCCCATCCAGTTCCATCCCCTTCCATACACCTTTCACTATCCCAAGCTGCTCCAAGCCCCATCCAGCCTGGCCTTGGGCACTGCCAGGGGTGGGGTAGTCCCAGTTTCTCTGGGCAACCTGTGCCAGGCTCTCACCATTTCACATTATTGGAGCACTGAGTTGTGATTTATGTGTATATTCCTTGTAAAACTGCAGTGAGGGATCTTCTCCACTGCTTGTTTGCATGTGAGCTGGAAAATCTGTACCACCAAAATTTAGACAGTGATTGAGTCAAGACCTTACAAATTTCAGACCCAGGATGTGGAGTTGTGTGAAGCTGTGCTGAAGAGCAGCTCCCTCCTCTGGGCAAGGCAGGGAAGCAAAACCTTTCTCTTTCTGCCGAGTGTTAGATGGCTTTAGCCACTTTGTCCCAAATTGGTTGCCACTGTTGTCCCTGTCCTCAGGCAGTGCTGTCAGCCCCACGTCCTGGGGTTTGTTTCATGTTTCTTGTCTTCACTGACAGGTGCTTGATGGCAAGGAGGATCTTGAGAAGCAGCATCGAGATAGCATTAAACAACTGAACAGTGTTGTGGAGAGACAAGAAAAGGACCTCACTAAACTTCAGGCAGAAGTGCAGGAACTTGAAGAAAGGAACAGGAGTGTGCAGGCAGCACTCGACAGTGCATACAAGTAAGCAAAGCAATCACACCTTCAGATTGTGGCTCTTCCTTGTGCAATGCTTGTGAAATATTTAAATGTAACAAAGTTACTTTCCAAGTTGCTGTTGGCATTTAAATGTACTAGTGTTTGTTTATTTCTTTGTTTGGTTCTTTCTCCCCAGGGAACTTGCAGACCTTCATAAAGCGAATGCTACAAAGGACAGCGAGGCTCAGGAAGCAGCCCTGAGTCGGGAGATGAAGGCGAAGGAAGAGCTTGGGTTAGCATTGGAAAAGGCCCAGGAGGAGGCTCGGCAGCAGCAAGAAGCTTTGGCAATTCAGGTGGGTCTGAAATGCAGTGATAAACTCATTAATTCAACAAGTGACTGCACTGAGCTGCTGTGTGCACCTGATGTAATGGACCAGGTGGAACTCGTTTTTGTGTGCTTAGCAAATACCCAGAGGATTTCTTCCCTGTGGAACTTGTTCCATGTTGAGGGGTGTTGTGCTAACCTTTAAAATACTAATTTTATTTAAAAGTACTTATAATTTTACTTATCTAGATGAAATTACTTTGATAGGCTCTATGTTAAGTTTGTGGTACTCTTACCTCTTAGAATTTTTAGCGATAAATAAATCAGTGTAACTACTTGTGTGCGTGCAAAAATGAAGCCTTTACTTGTAAACAAACATATCCTGCTAACACTGTTTGAAAATGGTGTGGGACTGTGGCAAGGAATAGGTGATGACAGAACTTTTGGCAAGAGTTTAGTAACAATTTCTTGTTTATTTAGGTGGCAGACCTGAGGCTGGCACTGCAACGTGCAGAGCAGCAGGCAGCAAGAAAAGAAGATTATTTACGGCAGGAAATTGGTGAACTACAGCAGGTACTGTAACAAACAGATGATGCCCACTTGCACCAGCAAGGAGGACTTCTGAAAACCCAAAAATAAATTGCTACCATGACATGAGCAGCCTGAAAGAGAGGCTTTATTTTCCTTGTTACCTGCAGTGGTTGTCCTTTACAGAGGAGCAATAAAAATATTAATGGAAATGTTTTTTTAAATTACATAGTGGAAAAAAGTCTTAGTTTTTTATGATGCCTCTTAAAGAGAATGCTGTCCTTTTTAAATACAAGACAAAATACAGGCATTAATTCTGTGATAGTTGTGTAAAGTTGCTGGCAAATGCACTTCTGAATGACTCTTTATCTGCTTATTAAGAATATTTTTATTGTTCTTAAGGGCCAGAATATAGGTTGTTGCCAAAATGTTTCAAACGATGTCCAGAGCCCTGGAATTTCTGGGCTCTTGCTCTGTTATTTATCTGAAAATGTTTAACTTCTCTCTTTCACACTTTACTTTGAGTTTGAGCCACATGAATGTTAGATTGTAAAGTAGTAATCTTAGAATGTAAAGCAGCTGCTATTTATTTAGATGAACTCTGTATGACTCTTTCAATCCGTCATATGATTTAAATTATATTTAATTTGTGATTTCAGAGACTCCAAGAAGCAGAGAGCAGGAACCAAGAGCTGAGCCAAAGTGTGACCTCTGCTACACGGCCCCTGCTGCGGCAGATAGAGAACCTGCAGGCCACGCTGGGAGCACAGACCTCTGCCTGGGAGAAACTGGAGAAGAACCTTTCTGACAGGCTGGGTAAGGTGCTTGAGCTTCTGCTGAGCTGTGAGGCTCTGGGTGAAGATGTGAGATGTGTGAAGGTAAATGTAAAGGGCTTAATTAACACTTGCCCAAAGTGTAGATGGTGGATCAGGAGAGAGGAGCACCAAATGCTTTCCTGTAAGGAAATGGTGTGGGGGAGTCATGCCAAGGTTCTTGGACAGGTAATCCACTGGTTCTGTGTAAAACACTCTGTAACATAAGATTGTAAGGTGTACATGTCCTTACAGCTTCTAAGGGCATTGAGACACTGAAGGTATTCCAGTGTGGAGCCTGATGCTGAGATTCCCATTGTAAAGTTTGGAATCACTTACCTGACTGCATAGGTGATGATACATATATTGTTTGATACAGTGGTAATGTATTGTTTTAAATGAAAAATGCATTAAAAGCCCAAAGGTGGACCCCAAAAAAATACTTCCTTTCTGGAAGCAATCTGTAGTTGTATATTGCTTTTTGAAAGAGCCTGAAATCTGTTCATTCTGCATTGCTTTGATCCTCTGTGTGTGGAAAATATTTAATTTCCTTACAAAAGAAAACAAGATGTATTTTTTAAGAAAGATTAGTTGCATATAAAAAAAATCTGAAATTCAATTTTGATATATAAGTAAATGGCTCATATTCTAGATATTTGATCAAAAAAGGTTAAATTCCATGTTTTTTTCTTACTATTAGGTGAGTCTCAAACTCTTCTAGCAGCAGCTGCTGAGAGAGAAAGGGCTGCTACAGAGGAACTTCTTGCTAATAAAATTCAGATGTCTTCTTCTGAATCTCAAAATAGTCTTTTAAGGCAAGAAAATACCCGTCTTCAGGCTCAGCTGGAAGTGGAGAGAAACAAATTGAAGAAAATGGAAAATGAGAACAGCAGGTGAGTTCATTTTTGGTTAACAGCATTTCTTTATAATGTAGTGAAATTGAGTTGATATGACTGTGCAATGTGTTGGCAGAATGTTACAAAAAAATGTTGTTGAAGATACTTTGTTTCATTGTAAAGATTAAAAAGTGTTACATTCATAACAATTTGTAGCTTTGCAGCTGGGTTTGTTTTAAAAGCCTCTGAATCTACAGGGAATAGAATGGAGAATACCTATTTATTAACTTCACCTCTTTCTTTCCTCTGTGTAGGTATGAGGTTGAACTAGAAGGGCTCAAAGATGAGTATGCAAAAACCCTGGAAGATGCAAAGAAAGAAAAGGTATTGCCTAATTTAGCTTTAATCTCTGTTATGCTTGAAATCTGAGCTAACTGGAGATTAACAGTTTGTATTTCTCTTTGCAGGCACTGCTGGCTACTCAGTTGGAAATGGAGAAGATGAAGGTTGAACAGGAGAGAAAGAAGGCTGTTCTTGTCCAAGAAGCAGCAAAGGAGAAGGTGCAAAAACCTAATATTTATAAGTCTTACTGATATTGTCTTTATTTTAGTAGACAACTATACCTGAAACTTTTAGTACCTGGCAATATCTTTCCAGTGAAATAGGTGAAGTGTTGGACTCACTGAAATAAATTTTGAGTCATAGTCTATTTGACCTGAAAGAGGTAAAATATGGATTGTTGTCTTAATCCTCTGTGTTCTCTGAGCGATCTTGGATCCTTTTTCTTCTGAAGCTACTTGTTTCCTTTGCTTAGACTAACAGCATTGCTTCCACTGAATTCTTGTTTTGTTTCAGTGTGTAATGTTCCACATGCTTTCCAGATGAAGTCACAAGTCACAGAGGAATCCTCAATAGTCATTAAATTCATTACCACTAATTAACAGTTAGTATTCAGTAAAACTATTTCTGTTGTTTGTTTCTTACTGTCTCCAGTCCTAAAATCTAAGTGCTTTCCCCTTCAGAGGTTAGCATGCTTGTAGATGATCTGGAAAAAGGGGCCAGTCTGTTTTGAAGAGATATCAATAAATTATTAGCACGTGAAAAAGCCTGGAATTTAATCCATACACTTTATTTAAAAAGAACAAAAAGGCCTTAACATTCATTCTAAGAGATGTTCTTCTGGGTGTGAGATATTCTTTCTGTGATACATTTGGATGTACAAAACTGCCTCTGAGTCTCTCTTGGCTGCTTGAAAGAGAACATTTTTTCAGTGTAATTTTCAGCTTCTGTATTAATTTCCTGAAAGGTCCAATATCTTGAAGATAGGCTGTGTTACAGCCCAGAAATTCTTTGTTGTTGAACTTTCATATGTTTTAGGTATGGGGCAAGTAGAAAATCTATCACATAGTATTCTATAGTTGTTGGTGGAAAAAGGGAGGCTATTTATAGAATCTCTTTTAGCATGTTGTGAATGTTTTTTCTTTCTCTAACTGGTGATATTGGATGCCTTTGTTTGTTTTTAAGGACCGAAAGTCATTCACAGTTGAAACTGTATCAAGTACACCCTCAATGTCCCGCTCCAGTTCCATAAGTGGGGTGGACATGGCAGGTCTTCAGACCTCTTTCCTCTCACAGGTAGGATAGATCACCTAAAATGGCTTTTTTCTTCTTGAGAGACCACTTACTTTCCTCCTCAAGGGCTTCTAGTAACATAGAAAATGACTCTTCAAGAGTGTATTGGCCTTAGACGAGGTAACATCCTGTGCAGAAACATCTAAAATCTGCTTACAAGATGTCTGGGACTGTAAAACATACAATTGATTTATTTTTATTTGCACTCCTGGTTTAGGGCACACCCCTGCTCTCTAGACAGCATGACTGAGTGCTGTACTCTGCTGTCTCCTACTGCTGCTCCTCCCCTGTCAGTCCAGTTCATGCTGCCAGTGTTCCATGGCACCTGTGGAAGTGTCAGGAGAACTTGCCAATAAGGAGCTATCCCAAATTGTACCTATTCACCTCAAGCTTGTGTTTTGAAAACAAGCTTTAAGCATTGAAATGCTTGCCTAGCACACTGTATTTTACATCTTAAGTTATGTCATATTTAGGAGAGGGAAGATTCCAAAATGGCCATGTTTTTGTCTAATTTTCAGCTTCTCTAACGTTCTATTTGTAGGATGATCCTCATGATCACTCCTTTGGACCAATAGCTACCAGTGGGAGCAATCTCTATGATGCAATAAGGATGGGATCAGGTTCAAGTATAATTGAAAACCTTCAGTCACAGCTAAAACTAAGAGAAGGGGAGATTTCACATCTACAGGTATCAGAAAGCTTGGTGTGTGTTGCAAGAATTCTGTGAACCAGCACAGCTGTGTAGGGATGAGCACAAGAAGAATTTGTTGGTTCCTTTTTGTTTTGGCAAGGACCTATCCAGAAAATATATCTGTCTGAAAAGTAAAATATCCAGGACACTGAGATTTGAAAAGAAAGTGAGAGAGGATCTGAGTTGTGCTGTTTCACAGTCTGGTTAAGAATAAGCCTTAATTACTGTGTATTTTGATATGGTGTTTTATAAATACAGTGAATTCTTTCCTTCTCCTCCTTGTTATGTGTGTTTACCCTAGCTGGAAATTGGAAACCTGGAGAAAACTCGATCAATAATGGCAGAAGAGCTGGTTAAATTAACAAATCAAAATGATGAACTTGAAGAAAAAGTGAAGGAAATAACCAAATTACGCACACAGTTAAAGGTAAGTGCATTTCTGGTGTAAATCCATAGTAAAATGTAGATAATTGTATTACTTTAGGAGCAGTCCTGTCAGTTTAGGAATATATTCAAATCTGTTTCAAAGCATAAGTGACTGAAGAGCCTGGTTTTTGGTGGGTTTTTAAAATATATATAGTAGAACCTAAAAATGCGCACTCCATGGTTAGGGAGTCACTTCAAAACACAGTTGCTGGAAACATGTGCTGTGCATAAGACTGTGTGCTAAGTCAGGGAGAGACCATTTTTGCTTCTATTATTTAGGAACTTGTCTGGAACTGGATTTTTTAGTAGAGGGAGGGTTTTAATTAATAGCATGGGTTTGAGGTTGATGCAGAAGTTGAATATGTATGTGCAGTAGATATACAGGAAATAGGACAAATAATTGAATCCAAATGTTTAAGAATCTAAATTGAAATATTTGAAGAGTTTTGGAATAATTTTTGAATACAGAATGTTACATTTTCTCATGAAACATTTCCCAAATTGGTCATTCCTGTAGTAAAACAGTGCAGTTTTCTAACTGTTTTTAATGCTTATAGCAACTGAACTTCAAGGTGCTTCACTATGTCCTATGAAGCCAGCACTAATTCTCTTTATGATGTTTGGAATATCTTCCTTTAATATCTAGACTATAAGTCTAGCTGTACTCAAAGCACAAAGTACTTTTGAAGAGTTTACTGAATGCTTCACTGTGGTTACACTTTGATGAGGTAGTGCTGCCCTTATTTCCCTTGGCAGTGTCAAACACTGTCCAGCAGCAGCTTGTTTGAGGCTGAGAACCAGAACCAGTGAGATAACAGCGTGTGTCCTTGCAGGATTTGGATCAGAGGTACAACACCATTCTCCAGATGTATGGGGAGAAGGCAGAGGAGGCTGAGGAGCTCCGACTGGATCTGGAAGATGTGAAAAACATGTACAAGACTCAGATAGATGAACTTTTAAAACAAAGACAAAATTAATTCCTTGTGGAACTGTTAGCATTGTATGGTGACAGTCTGTAAAGATAACTGTTTATGTAAATGCTGAATTTAAATGTCTTGTAAAAAACCCCTGTATTATAGAAAATGTGACTATATTATAGAGTTCATATGTTGACAGAAGAATCAATGCTTTAAGTGTCCTGTTCTGTCTGCAGTTAAATTATTTGTGCAATATTTAATTTTATTTCTTCAGTCATCCCTTTATTTAAGTTTTTGCTAAATGGTCGGCCATTTTACCTAAACAGCAGAAATTATGGTTGTTACCTTGTGAGACAGAACTGGAAGGCATGAGTAGTACTAAAAGCAGCCCTTGATTCATAATCTTTGCAAACCTATGAAAATCACATTAGAAGTCTGTCTCAAGTGTTCATACGAGTTTTTCTAAAATCTCATCAGGTAATTTTTAATAACTAAGCAGCAGGGACTTGCTGTCTGAAGCATACCTGGTGGATATTTTTATGACAGGAAAATCTTAGATTTGTGCTTACAACATCTGAACACATCAGGGTGATTATTCTTAGACAAATCAGATTAGTCTGACTACTTAACACTAAGTCCTCTAAAGCAGAGTGTGAGACTCAGATGAGACTTCAAATTACAGCTTCATCTTGTATATTGCTTGTGTTCTCATGAGCAGTCTGGAGACAGCAGCTCTGCTTGTAATGATAAATGTGTTCAACTTTTAACACCAGAAATCTGAGCTGTTAAATATCTGTTCTAGATTTAGTAGCTGATTTTTAAGTAGCTAGAACAGATCAGAAGAATGCAGGAAACTGATTTTTTAAAAATAAATGGCTGCAGATCTCATGGTTCCTTTTATATAATTAGCAAGGGTTAGACTTGTAAAACTGAACTGTGTCTTAATAATAGAGCAAGTCTCCAGTGGCTGCAGAGTATTTCTCATGCCATTCCTTAAGCAAGGTATTGGTCAAACAGCACTCATGTGACTTGGAGTTGAGCTGCATTTTTGGTAATGTCAGAGGAAATGTTTGAATGGGTCCCTTGGGAATGCTGAGAAGGAGCTATGGTCTTCCTCTCTGCATTCCAGAGAACAAATATTTTGCTGCATCTCAGAACCTACTCATGTGAAATACTGGGCAGTTGAAATTCTTTGCTTATCACACCAGTGCCTCTGTTGGGAGAGGTTTTTTTTTTCCCAGACCAGTGCACGTTGTAATTTGGGAACTCTTTTCCTGCTTGGGTATTTGGTGGCCTGACACACAAAGGATGTGAAGGATGAGGAGTTGCTTCTGGACAAATGCCTCTTGGTAATATGATTTTACTATGGGTGTTAAGGATTTATTCCTCACTGGGAGAACAGGATTTATTCCTCACTGAAGTTACACAAGCAAGGGAATGTTCATGGAAAATCCTAGTCTGATTTGACATTCAGGCAGTTGCTCTGTGAGGATTTCATTAAAGCCATAGAGCCAGAACACTTAAATTTGTTGTAACTCCCCATCTGTCATAGAAACTTCTAAGTGCTTTAATAAAAATAATTTTTTCCCTTCCTTTTTTTTTTTTTTTTTTTTCATTGGGAGGTGGGAGGGAATTACCCTCTTGTCTTCATTTCAGTTTTAGAAACCATGGTGGTACGATTTTTCTTCTAAAAACCTCGGAATTTAATACTTTACCTTCATATTAAAGCATGGTTTGTTGCTCTAAGTTTCTGGAAAACCCCAGACCAGTCAAACCTAAGCAAAAATCAGTGCATATTAAAACACTTGCTGGAATTTTACTGATTTAGAATTATGATGTACAAGGGTTAGTTGAGCCTTTTCTTAAGAAAACAACTCTTTGTGATGGTCAAAGATTAGAAATTCTGTTCAGGTTTTATCTACTACAGCAAATCAATAACTTCCTGGTTTTCACTTTTTTTTATGATCTTGGCAGATAAATGCAGCAAAGAAAAATAAATTATTTTATACTCCTGAAGGACTGACAGTTCTGAGTATGTCTTGGGCTATCTCGTTTACGAGAGCTTAGGTAAAAGGGAAATTTTAACATGCAGTCAGCATTAACTGTTTTAGATGTAAAAATGCAAAAGGTACTAGATTTTTAAATTTTACTAAAGTAGATGTAAATATTTCTATTGATTATATTTGGATTCTATAGTCCCTTGTAGTGCAGCCTTTAATACCACCTGAAAATCAGATGGCCTTCTGTGTCTTAATCATCAAAGCCTTAGAAAACAAAGTGGCTGTTGGAAGGTAACATAGGCTTTAAAATATCCTGGTTTGCTCATCTTTGATCTAGTTGTATGCTTGTTTTGAAGAAACTTCGTTTGCTTGAACACAATTCATTGCTCTTACTGAGATTGCCTAGAAGAGTAACGTGCAAAATGAATTAGGCTAGAATTCTAGTACTCACTTTAGACAAAAGTTACTGTTTTAGAACATTCCTTCTGAAAGCAACTAATTTATCTCTCATTTTCACTGCATATTCAAGTATGAAGAAATGTTATTTAAAGGTTACTCAGTGTAGTGTTCAGAGGGAGCTGAATTGCTGATGGAAAGGCCTCTGGATGTAGGCAGGTTTGGATGAGGAATACTCTGGTACTCACTTCCTTTAGGAACTCGAGAGCCCATGTTCAAAATCTCTTGTCAAATTCACATGAAAGAAGGGTTCTATTTTTTTTTCCTGCTACATGTTGTAATTTATGTGCTTATGTTTTACTAAGGGCTATAATGATCCTTTATAAGAGGTGAAATGGTTATCACAGTGAAATTGAACCCCTTGGTTTCGAGTTGTAAAATATGTATAAACTGTAAAAAGCACGGGTCAGCGTAAAATAAAATTTTCCGCTAACAGTGTTCTCTGGTTCTCTTTGATAAAATACTTAAAAATAATTCTGGGGAGGGTGGATAGGTGGGTGTGAACCTAGTGCTGTGAAAGGAAAACATTACTTAAGGTAGAAGATACCAGATACAGTTGGAATACAGGTACAGATGCCAGTTCAAGTCTTGCAGTACCGTGGGTATTTATGTACGAGGAGCTGCTATATTTCTAAATGCACCGCAGCGATGGGGTTGAGGATAATGTGAAATTCAGACTCGTTTCCTTTATTCAGGTAAGCGGTGTCCCTGCGGGGTCAGCACCTCTGCGTTCTCTCGCAGATTTCCTGGCTAGGGCTGTTTGTTGCTCGTTTCCCACCTGGGAACGAGGGGAGAAGAGGTCCGGGCTGTGCGGGAGGATTCCAAGCTCTTGATTGTTGGCGCCTGTGCCTCCCGCGGCGCTCGTCACTGCGGGAATTGGGTCAGACCGAAGGAGGGTGCGGGGTGCCGGCACAGGCAGGAGCGCTGCCGTGTGCCAGGGAGGGCAGGGAGGGCATGGCCGAGCCCTGCCCGTGCGCCTGGCGGTGTTGGTGAGCGCGGCGGCCCCGGCCCCGCTGCTGCCGGCCTGGGCTCGGGGGGACGCCTGGAACAATGGGGTGCCGGAGCCTGCGCTTCCTGCCGGGCCGCGCCAGGAAAAGGCCCTTTTCCTCCGCATCCTGCGCTCGCCGCTCCCGGGGCGGCAGCGTTTAATTTCCGGCAGCAGAAGGAAGACGCGGCTGCTCCGCCGCTGCTCCCCGCGGGCAGGTGCCCTTCGCTGCGGGCCCACCTGAGCCCGACCCGCGCCCGAGCGCTGCGCCTCCGCCCCGGCCCGGCGGCTCCTCCTCCTTCCCTGCCTGCCTTCCTTCCTTCCTCCCCTGCCTCCTTCGCTGCCTCCTTCCCCGGCTCCCGCCGCCCCGGGCGGGGCGCTCCCGGCTGCTGCCGGCGGCGGTCCCGGGGCGGCCCCTCCCCGACAGCCGCACGGGCGCTTTCCCCGGAGCCGGCGGGGCCGCGCCGAGCGCTGCCCCCGGACATGAGGATTGGGGCCGGCGGCGAGCGCCGAGCAGGAGCAGCGGCCGGTCCCGTGGGCCGCGGGGCTCCTCGGGGCCGGCGGGGCTGAGACACGCGGTGAGATAACGCGGTGCGACACGCGTGAGATGCGCGGTGAGACACGCGGTGATAAGCGCTGAGATGCGCGGTGAGATGCGATTCTGTGCCGGGGCGCGGCGGCGGTGCCGGGTCCAAGCGTGGGTCAGGCACCAGGTCCGGCTGGTGCCTGGGTCCGGTTCTGGGTCTATCATGGAACCCAGCACGGCCTGGCACAGGATGCCGGGCACCTTCCCGAGGTGACAGCCTCATCCAGCGCCCAGGGGTGGGGAAGGGCCGCGTGTGTTGGGGACACCGCCGGGTTTGTGGTGGAAGCGGTGATCCGTGTGCTGTGTGCGGGGAAAGGGACCCGAGTGACAGATCAGCGCATTGCCCGGCTGTGGCTGCTGCTCTCATAGCTGGGAACGTGTCCCTAGGAGCAGAACAGTGTCCTGAGGAAATCTCCTTTTCCAGGACGTACCTAACTCCACCTCCCTCCCCCGCTCTAGGTTTCTGTACCTGGGAAAGCTGAAGTGGTTCCTCTCAAACCAAACAGGTAAAACCACTTGTATCGAAAGAATTTTGCTAAAGGCTTCAGTTGAAAGCAAGCATGCAAATTTTAGCCAATTATAACGCCGAAAAAGGTGGAGTTTAGATACAGGCCATACATTTCTTTTCCTCAGGAAGTTTAATGGTTCAAAGCAGGGGTGTTAGATGAGAAGGTTGAATTAGCAGGAAGGTATGCAGTCAGCTTTAGGGTATACAGATGTGTGGGCCTGTGTATGTTTACGTGTGTATATATATAAATACACTTCTATTATGTACAAAATTATATGTAGAATATACTCGCTAGTCAAGTTTCTTTAAAATGATGTTAAGCACTAAAAACAGGCATCCTGTAAGGCTTAGCTGTGACCCTCTATTTGTGTCTGCCTATTTTTCCCTCAGCCAGTTATTAGTTCAAAATGGAGAATGTGTTGTTTTCATACTTATTTTAAAACTAAAAATCCTTCTTTTCTCACCCCTCCCCCCCAGCTCTTCTACTTTTTTTCCCTTCTCACTGGATATTGCATGCTCTATACTTGGTTTCCACACTGAACTCTCAGGATCCCTTGGCATTTAGCTAAAGTAAACACACCCATTTTAGCTTTGCTGGGAGTTTGTAGTGCATAATAACACTCAATGACTAATGATTCAAAGATAATCCTGAGGTTGTGCAGTCTGGCCTCTCAGTGAAAGTTTGGTCTTCACAGGAAAAAGAAGCCACTCCAGAAATGCAAGTACAGATTCTTTGACTGTATGTCTGACTCTGACTGAATTTTGTCCTGTGTGCTTGAAATGCTGCAGATATGTTAATGTCTTTTTTTTTTTTTTTTCTATTTTATTTATAAAGTACAGAACTCACAGGTTGCCATGTTTATGTTGCTTGTGTTTGGATTGCTACTGCAAGAAATTCTGGCTAATTCCCAAGCTGAAAATCCCACTGAATTCCCAAACATTCCAGAAGAGCCATTCTACAGCTACAAAGCCATCAACTTGCCAGATGAGCATATCCCCTACTTTCTGCACAATAACCAGCATGTTGCTGACATCTGTAAGCAGGATGCTCTTTGCCCATATAAAGTAAGTTTGCTTTTTTCTGTTTGTGTCTCCAAGTGTCCTGTTGGGGTGGTTTGTTCTTGGGAGCTGCAGCAATTAAAGATGGTGATTAATTGTCTCCTTGCCAATTAGTCAGGGAAAGGATTTGTATTGAAGACAAGAATAACATTGATGTGCATGTGTGTCCACTTTGGAGCCTCTGCTGTGCATGAGGAATCTGGGTGTTGTTTCTCAAACTCTGCTTGAAAACAGACCAAACCAAAAGCCTTTTATGCAAGATTTATGAGCAAGACGTCATTTCAAAGCTAACTTACTTAAGTCATTTCCCATTTTCCTGTTGCAAAACCTGATTCAGTCATTCTGTGCTGCAGAAACACTTGAAGAAACTAAAATCCTGCTGGGGTTATGAGAAATCTTGCAGATCAGAGAACAGGTTCAGTTACCCAGTGTGTGATTATGTTGAAACCGGGTGGTAAGTTTAATTTTAAATGTCTACTGTACATTGTGGTAAAAAAATAGTGTAGTGCTCACAATGATATCGCTGTGAAGTAAACATTATTGTGATATTTAGAATTTAAAGTGTGATTTTTTTGTGGACACCTGTGTGTGTATATATATATAAAGATGTGTGTATTTATACATAATGAGCCTTTCAACATGATTTAAAAAATTTAACTTTTTAAGGAAGAAAATACTACTAGAAATGCTTCCTGCCAGAATGTTTTCATTATTCTGATTTAGCCTTGAATTCAGATTCCTAAAATAGCTGTATTTCCTTTCTTAGCTTTAAAAACAGAGGAAAAAATGTAGAAAAAAAAATGTGTACCCTTTTAGGGGAGAATAGCTTTAAATTAAATTGTCATTGATGTTTTCACTTACATGCAGCTGATAAGTGCTTCCTGTTCTGGCATCTTAAATGCCAGTAAAATAACTGGCTGGTTCCTCTGTTCCACTTTCAGTGGAAAAATGTGATCTGTTGAAGTTCTTACTAGAATTGAGCAACAGACCTTGATTTGTTTCCTCTCTCCTTCACACACCAGGGCCAGTGACATCGAGACAGCCCAGCAGATATTCTGGAAACAAGCAGACTTTGGGTATGTTCGAGAGAGGCTCAGTGAAGTGAAAACCCATTGCAAGCCTGCAGCAACAGTAGGTATTTCTGATAGATCTGATACTTTGCACTTGCTTTTAAAAATAGCTTTTGTTGTTGACAGAATTCTACTTGTTCTTAACAGGGGGATTCATCTCTGACCTGCTCCCAGTACCTTCAGCACTGCAGAGCAACCAACCTGTACATTGATTTACGAGCTGTGAAGAGAAACCATGACAGGTCTCTGCCTGTGTTATAGCAAAAATGGGATGGCAGGGAAAGGGAATTGAGAATTGGTTTAACAAAGCTGGTTTGCTTGTTGCTATGGGTTTTACTTTTTTTACTTTTTACTGCCAGCAGTTTTATTGCTGATCAGTTGCTTGTTGCTGAAGCCCTGTAAAGGTTTGCCCCTCTTCACTGCTGGCTGCTGCTGGTGGTGTAAAAACCCAAGTTCTCAGTTTTATGGAATGATGATGGGTGATTGGAATCCTCTCTGATGGAAGAGAGGAAAACATCTTCAGTCATGTCCTTCCTTGATCAGATGATGTGCAAAATACAATTGCTTTTGTCTGAGGAACCAAGACATTTCCTGTGCCTTTATACCAGATCCAGGAGCTGCATTTTTAGATACTGAGTGACTTGAGGAGAGATCTGAACCCAGATCTTCCACATCTCAAATTCAAAAGCTACATATTGGAAACTGGATGAAAAAACCATACCAGTGGTGCTGGGCATGACCCTCTGACTTGTCTTTGAAGTCAGTGTATTGATCTGATTCATGACTGAGACTGATATTACCCTTCAGAATGGGTTTTGTCATCATCACAGCCTGTCCTGAAAGCTAATTTAGACAGTGCTTTTAGCTGGCAATTTATTTTCAGGAAATTTGTTCTTGCATCTCACTCTTCATATGTCATATAGAATCCTTGGGTGGCAAAGTGGGTTGTGAAATCTGAGGTAAATTTCAGTAAGAAATTGTTAGAAAGAAACAAGAACTCCAACCAGTGATGGTCCTGGCATGACAGTGAGGCATCACTGTCATGAAGCAAAATTTGATTAAATTACTGATGTGGGTATGTGTAGATAATTCTTAATAACATTCTGGGTGGATTAGGGCTGATTTCTGAGACGATGCCTACACCTTCAAGAACACGGTTGTGGGAAAGTCTTGATTTACACTGAGGAAAATACTCAAGTTTTAAATATGTGTGAAGTGCCTTGCTGAACT